AAGACTTCTGAGTTCTGGTGCATTTGTGCGTGCAGGGGTCATTATGTTGCCGCTTTGTGGTATCTAGTTTTTTTTCCTTTATCCTTTGTATTTTCTTTCTTTGTTATATTTTACTTATTGCATCTTTACACCAAAGCAAACTCCTAGTCCTGTTTATTGAYAATGACAATAAAACCGATTCTCACTTTGATTCTGATTCTGAAATTGGCTGAGTTCTTGCCATTTTTATGTTTTAGRTCATTTACCTGTGGCAGCCATCTTAAATGAGGTTGACTCCAAAAGGAGCTGRATGTTCAGTGATTACTTTCTGAAAACGTCATTAAAGTTCATCCAGTTGTTCTTGAAATATTTCACTAACACAACAAAAAAGCACACACTTAGTCTTTGCCAAAACACTGTCATCCTTTCTCCCTCAGGTTTGAGTGATAAAAAGGRTGTCCTTCCAAAATGAGAGTTCTGACTTATGCGTCAAAACTCCCTCTGATGCCTAAACAGTGAAGTTCTTGTTTTCTCAACTCATAAGAAACATTCTGCACTAATAACTTCATTCACTGTTGATTTGTTGCAAGGTGTGGAAGTGATAATGCTGCTATAAACACAGCAAGCAAAATCAATACAGCTAACAGGCCAGGCCAAGTGTTTACCTTAGTTTTTCTTTTCATGATGCACCTYAATGCATAAATTCTGTGTTGCTTTGTAACGTATACAGGTATTTATCCAATGACTCCTRTGGGGTGATTACTAAAGAAGAGCTGAGCATGTGAATCATTTTAAAATGTGGTAAAATGGCTTGTAATAAGATGTTATTTAATTGCAGCAACTAATTTCCAAAACATTGACTGACCAACAAAAAGTCTTTGTTTGAAGAAGAAGACGTCCAGGACCAAAATCTCTGGTCAGTTATTATTATTTTTTTCTGTAAGTCCATTCCTCCTCACATATTCACTTATTGTGCTCATTTCTTCAGTGTAATGATGATTACACTGTACACATCAGACTAGAGATTTGGAGAACTAATAAGTGTGTGTGTGTGTGTGTGTGTGTGTGTGTGTG